GTACTAAATTTAACGCTTTGCAAAGTCCTGTCATTCTGGCAAACCTCAGTAGGTCTTTATTTAGTGCAGTTATTTTGCATTACCTCCACAGGGGAATAGGAAACAGTAATGGGCCTGTGAATAAAGAGTTGCCAACAGTCCCAGGGTAAAGGAGGCAGGTGAAATAAACCTCAGTGTCCTTTTCAAGCCTGCAGAGGGGCTGCTGAGGATGAAGTGAATTCCAAGGAGACTAATGTAATTAGTTGCTCTGTGTGACAGAAAGACAACTGCAAAAATAATGTGTAAGCCTAGGCCTAGCCTGTTGGTAAACAAATCAGTAAACAAGGTCCCTGGAAATTAAGTCAGTTACTACTGCAATTAATACTACAGGAAGGGGGAAACATGCAGCTCAAAGCAATTCCATTGAGCCTCAGAAATGCAGCTCTTCCAGATCTGCAGTGACTAAGCTGTTTAGCTGTGCTGTGAGACAATCCTAAACCCCTAGGACTGAGAAACAAATAAGCAAAGGTTTTGAGATGAAGATGACAAGAGTCCCCCAAAATCCATATCCACCCTGTAAGGCAGCTCTGAAGGCCCCACAACAGCCATGGTTCAGAGCAGACTGCCAAGAGCAGTGGGACCTCTGTGATGTGTAGCTGGCAGATCCCAGAACAAATTTCCAAGTGTGACCCATCCAGTCAAATAGGAGAAGCCTGTAGAGTGTGCCCAAAGACACCAAACTAGAAAGCTGTGCATATGCAGAAACCTACCTCACTTCTCTTTAAGCAAGTTCTAAAAATACCTTCCAGGTGCAAAGAAATCCACTGGATCACCCAGGTCCAAACAATGCTTCTGGGTAAGTAAGATCTTAAAAGGCGTATGTTAGCCAAAACAGACTGAGAACTAATTTGTGCATTTGATACAAGCAGCTCACACTAAATCTCATGTTTTCATAGGCCCTTGTAGCAAAATTATTTTCCATTTTGTCACTCTCACAGTGAACAGTGGCACTCCACTTGAAGTTTTTTGCAGCACTAGGAAGGTTAAATGCCACATGTTCTTAGCATCATTGCTGACAACTGAAGGGAAAACACTACATGACTTCCTCCTATTTCAAAGACACTTGATGCAAAGACGTCTTGTTTATAAAAAGCACTCATCCCACACTCACTTTGTGCAAAGAATGGCAGAACATACCAATACTGTCACAAACATCTGCTCTTATGGGGAAAAAAGTCTGGATGAAGATTCAGAGAAAGGTTCCTTTTCCAAACTTGCTGTACAACAGATGGGTCACATGCCTTTGTTTCTCTGTTCACCCACACATTTCACCAAGACAAAATGTTACGTTTGGGAACCAGGTTGTTCTTGCTGCCTGCTTTTTTTTGTTGTTGTATTTAAATGCTGTGCCTCATTATGAGGCTCCCATCCAGCTTCTAGGCATGGTATTATGATGGCAAGGAAATCTGACACGTTTATCACCAGGCAAAGTATTAAATGCACAGCTTTTCTATCAAAGCTATTAAGAGGAAAACAAGGCCATCTGTAATTGCCAAACAGGGAGAACACACTCAGGGAGAACAGCTGCTTTAACAAAGAGCTCTGTGTTGAACAGGAATGATGAAATTTAACTACACCAAAGCCAACAAACGCTGTCCTCCTGCAAAACTTTTACCACCAGCACACCCTTAAAGGGGAGCAGTCCATGAGGGGCAGCAGCTGCTGACCCAGAACACAGGAACAGCCACTGCTGGGAACTCTCCCAGCCACAAAGCAGCACCTGCAACTGAAGGTATCCTGCAGAACCGGTGGACAGCAACTGCAGCTAACTTTTAGAGTTCAGTATCACTTAACACAAAAGCACATCTATCAGCAATTCTTTCACAATCAGCCACCCTGTTCCACCTTGGCAGTCAACTCCTCACCTCACATGCCTGAACAGGAACACCTCAACACCAACACCAAGAACTTCTCCACACATTTCCTCAACGCCTCTTTTATCACGACCAAGGCAACACCTTTGCTTACCTTTTTCAATCTACACAGGATTTTAAACACTCCTAATATAAGGCACCAGAACACATCTTGTACCCAGGGGTGAGGTACAGTGAGCCAAGGGCATACCTTACATGCACATATCCCCATTTGTTATACCTCAGCCTATAGAAGTTATTACAGTGAAAATCTTGGCATGGAAATCTTGACATGGACGGACAAAACCTGAGCTTTACAAGCAAAACACTTCAAAGTATTAAACATATTAACTCTACACCACACATAACCTGATGTAAAAGCTGAACAAGAACATGTCAGTGCAAGCAAAATAAACATGCATACAGAGAGAAAATATATTACTGAAGCAACATTCCAATTGCCGTAATTCCATAGCAAGTATCAGAGGTTTTAAGAGTTCAAGACAACATAATTTTTCTTAATTTTTTTTTTTTCAAAATTCCCTAGACTGCCTTGACAGGTCTGATCAGAACTTTTTAAACAGGGTCTTTCTTTGGAAGAGAGCACTTTGAAGACCAAAATCAGGAATTTTAGAAATGTTTATACAAGCAACTACAGGCCCAGCCAGTCCAGTGTCCCTGCTCCTCAAAAGATACAGAGCAGGCAAGAATATATAACATTCACCTTGGATTCCCCAAGTCTCTGTGTTCATGGCTCAGAGCACTCCTCAATTCAGATGTTGTCTACTCTATTTTCAGACTTTGAGCAGGCAAGCAACTAAAACTCTTCATACTGCCCAAATAAAATGTGAAATAGTAGTTACATTCATACTTACTAGTTCGAAACTTCTCCTTTATTGCATCCAAATCATCCTTGAGAGCCACCTGCATCCAGACCAAGCCAACACAGGCGACCACACAAGCAGCAAGAATGACGAACGCACACAGAGGGTAACAGAACCTGCAGCATCGCAGGTAATCTCCCCTGCAGAAAACAAATAACAGCTTGTGAATGTACAGCAGTGCATGGAAAAGTGTTATTTTAAATGCTGTTCCAGCAAAGTAAGGGACAGTGTTGTAACAACACACATTTTGGCTGACAAGGGGCTAACAAAGAGCATTTTCAGGAACAAATAAAGTCAGGCCAGGGCTGTTACTCTCTACTCAGTTTATCCTCAGTAGGCACATCTAGCATATTTAAAAGCAGCTGTCAGGTTTCCTTTACTGAAATATTCTGCTCTACTGACATAAACTTATGTCAGGCACATCTGCTTGATAGCTTGAAAAACACACTTCAAGACAAGGTATTACCATAATGTTACAGGCAAGTACTTCTAGAGCATTCTAAATTGTGAAAGCTCAGATTTCCCCGAGACATGCCTACTTTAAGGTATGCACAGATGCCCATTATTAATGCTGTTACTTAACAGAAAAGCTTATTTATTGGCACGTTCCCGAGAAAACCAGCTCGCAGGACAGTGCCACGATACGCACGCACACAGGGATAACTGCACCCAGCATCTCCAGGAGCTGTCCCCAAATTTAGTCCACAGGGACTTGTGCTGCGACGAGCACAAAACAGAAAAAAACAAAATAATAAAAAGCCAGAGGATGGTCCAGCGGGAGCTGCCCCTGGGGGTGGCTGGGGGGGGGTGGAACTAGGTGATCTTTAAGGAAGGGATCTTTCAAGGTCCCTTCCAAGCCAAGCCGTTCTGCGACTCGATGATGCTTCAATCCCCTGACAGGCGAGCTGCGGGGTCGGACGCGCTCAGCGCGGCTCCGGGTGTGCCCGGGCCGTCCCCGGGCTCGCACAGCCCCTTCCAGCCCCGCTGCGCACCCGGGCCCGCTCCGCCCGGCACTCACTTCCCGCAGCGGCCCCGCGCCCCTGCGAACTCCTCCTCCTCCTCGGAGCTGGACTCGGAGTCGGAGGCGGGCGGCTCGGTGCGCAGCAGCCGGTGCCCCGAGCCCTTCTTGGCGGGTTTCTTCCTGCGGCCGTCGGCGGCCAGGCCGATCAGGGCGTTCAGCTCCTTCCGCTTCTTCATCCTCTTGTGGGGCGGCGGCGCGGCCGGCGGCTGGCTCCCGCCTGCCTCCTCCTCCTCCTTCTCCTTCTCCTCGGCCGCCGCCAGCGCGCCCCGGCTGGCCAGCCTGCGGCCCGGCGGCGGCTACAGGCGCTCCGCGGGGCCGCGGCTGTTGCTCCCCCGCCGGCCCCGCGGCGGCTCGCCCGGCCCCGCGGCCGCCGCCCGCCCCGCCCGCGCCATGGCCGCTCGGGCCGCGCCGCGCCCGCCTGCCAGCAAGCCGCGCTCCCACTGGCCGCCGCGGGACCGCCCCGCGCGGGCCGCCGGGCGCGGGCAGCGCCGCGGGTTCGAGCCCCGCCGCCGGCGGGCGGGACCGGCGGGGAAGGGGCGGTGAGGCGCGGCGGCGCACGGCCCGGTTCGGCTGCTGCCGTCTGCCGCGGCTCCCCTCCGACCCCTCGCCCGCCCGGCTCGGCGATAGCGGTGGCAGGGTGTTGCCCGGCAGCTGCCTGCGCTCTACCTGCCGCGGTGGCCGGCCCTCGGCTGACGCCCGGCATCGCCGGCCCGGCGCGGTGCGGCATTCCCCGCGCTCGCTGCCGGGAGATGCTGTCCCGGCCGGCGCTGGGATGCGGCTCACAGCGGGGAGGGCGACGGGGAAGGAGAGCGGGAGCTGTCAGCCGGGATGCGGGATGGGAATGCGTGGAGATGAAGGTGAAACCTCGTGAGGCAGGAATAGGTGATGAAGACCTCGGGAAGAGGAATCTCAGAGTACGGTCTTTCCCGCTCTCTCCAGCCTGGGGTCCCGGCGCGGAGCCGGCCGGTGCCAGCGGCGGGGACTCGGGGCGGGCAGCAGCTCGCAGCCGGTGCGGCGGCAAGCAGAGCGTTCCCGCGGGATGCTCCCCTTCCCTTCTTTTCCCTCCCCTCCCAACAAGCGCTGCCGTGATTTGGCAGCGGCTCAGACCCTGGACCTGCCTCTCCGCCCCGCATTGGCTGCCGCGGCCGGTGCCGCCGGGGCGCTGGAGGACACCGGGGGCAGTGGCTGGCAGCTCTCACCGAGAAGATGAAGCTCCTGTGGCTGGGCGTGGATGTCTCCAGGGTTCTGCACCTGGCCGCCGTGTTCTGCCTGACCTGCGTGCTGCTGAAAGTCATCCAGCTGTTCCACCGGCGGCGGGAGCTGCTCCGGGCGCTGGCCGACTTCCCCGGGCACCCGACCCACTGGCTCTTCGGCCACGTCCACGAGGTGGGGGAGAGCCGGCTCTGCGCTGCCGGGAGCGGGGGGATGCGGGGAGCAGCTTTCCCGAGGGGCGTGTGGGAATGATGCTGCTGGCACTTGTCCCCGTGGTCCGGGAGAATTGCTGGGTGGGCGAGAGGCGGGCATCCCTTTTCCCATCCAAACCAATGTGCTTTCCCTGTCTGTGATGCTTGGCGAGAGCGTGGCTCACGCAGAGCTCCGCAGGCTGCTGCGGACTGCGCGCTGGAAAAGGGTGGTGGCTGTTTCGCAAGTAGAAAGCGGTAGCGCAGCATAGGCAGGGTCATGCCTGGATGTGAGCTGGACGGAGCAGAGCCGTGCTGCTCTGTCCCGGGGCAGCCTCCACTGTCACCTCTCCGCTCCTCTGACAGCCAGGGCCGCTGCAGCTCTCCCTGCTGATGGATGCTGAGCAGATGCTCGCTGCTCCGGCTATCCAGAGGCACTTTCTCTCCCCTGCCAGCTTGTGTCGGCCTCGTGGCCAGGTGAACCTGACAATGGATCGTTCTGAGCCACTTTTCAGCCAAAAAACACATCCCAGGCATTGCACCCAGCTCAGGGGCCGTGGGTCTTCTTACTACTGCTTTAAAATCATGAGTTATTAAACCCACGTACATAGGCGAACCTTGTTCTGGTCGCTGGTGTCGCGGATGATTATTCCCCGAGGTATGCACTTGCCCACACATATCACCATGGATGCCTTGGCAAACAAATTTTGACAACTCATCAGGGGGTAACTGAGCTTGCCTGATGCAAAAGGTTTTTCCATATGTGCTAAAGGCTGTTTAAAATCACCTTGCCCTCTACTGGACTCTGCTGGTGTCCTGCCATGGCCACCTCTGTGGCACATTAAATAAGTGGCACCCTGAAAAGTGGAAAATCAGGAGGAGACCTCACAGGGCTGTCTCTGTGCTGTGGCAGTGCCAGTTTTACTGTGCTGGACAGGACAAGCAGTCTTTTGGCAATGTAAGCGTGAAGATGGGCCAGTTCAGAGCTTTGTTACACTGCCAGTTAGACTTTAAAACTGCAGTTAAATAAAGTATGTTCTTCTGTTAGTTGTGACTATTTATCCTGGAAGGAAATGTAACCATTTGTGCCAATCACTTGCTGTCATCATGCTTAGGTTGTTCATGCCTCAACTTTTACCTCGGACAATGTTTGTATGAGAATTCCTTTTTAGAAGATTTAATAATTTGCTGATTAATGCTGCTGAATTCCCCAAAGCCTAACAGTTCACCAAGCCAGCAAAGAAACTGGCAATGTTCTGGGCACACACTGAATGCAAAGTTTGCACACACCTCCAGAAGGACCTGTGAGCTGTATTAGGGAGAGCACTGACATTTCCTGTTCTGCTGATTTAACTGATTGTTTCCTAGTTTTGATCCACTTTAGAATCTCAAACCTATTTGTCATGCTCTGGGTGGATCTCCGGGGAATATATCACTTTGTTTTAATGCATTCTCTGGGTATTAGTGTCTGCTTATCCAAATCACTCAGAAGAAATTACATTAAAATATCAGGAAGAGGTTGTGTAGAGCAGTTCAGTCTCACTGCAGCAGCACAATTTCGTTAAAGCCCAGACTGCCAGCCCTGAGCTGACCAAACTGACTCCCCATGGCCGGGTTTGGTGGGAAGCAGAGGAGAGCAGGGTCACTGTCCTGCTGGCCCAGGGAGGGTGTCAGTCCCTCAGCCCTTTGTCCACTTCTGCTCTGTCTGGGGAGAAGCCAGCCCCCTCTGGCTGCATGCAGCACAGCCTCATGCTCAGATTTCAGCTCCTGTTTCCTCTTTCTCCTGTGTTTTTTTCTTTCTTTGCTATCAGAGTGTAGTCATTAAAAGTGCCCTTAAGCCTCTTCCCAGATGCTTTTAGTGTTGGATCCATTTCAAAACTTGCATTTCAGCATGAGATCAGGCAATTGCCTTTCTTTTTTAGACCCAAGTGGGGTTTATACTTTTCTTTTCAAGCCACCAAGGGAAGAAGAAGTAGAAGTAATGGTCTTTTATGCAGAGCTGGATTAAGAGCCGTGATTAAGGCATGAGAGCTTTCTATTCCTCTGCAGCTCACAGAACTTTACACCCTCTGCTCCAGGTGTGCTTGGTGCAACAGGTTTCCTTGAGGGCAACCACTCCTCTCAAATAAACCCATTCAACCCTCTGCCAGCACAGGGAGGGTTCTTGATAGCACAAGCCAAGCGTGCTGCTCTAACACAAGGTTGGAGGCAAAGGCTTCTAGGATTAGGACTTCTGCCAGCGAGACTTGATCAGCCTCTCCCAGTTACTTTTCATTATATTTTTTGTGATCCACAACAGGAGAAGCAGGCGGCTGTATCAAAGGGACTTTCACATGTTCAGGGGTCACATAGCTAAAGGCATTGTGCCAAGCACTGCTTCTGCTGGCATTTGCTGAAGAGGTGGGTGCTGAGGAGGGCTGCCTGCTTTTGCCCCAAAACTAGATCCCTGAAGTCAGAGAGATTGATGGTTCTATTTATTAAGTTCAAAATCTTGAGTAAGTGAAGTTGAGCTTTCTGTAATAACTGGTTGTAGTTCATCATTCTGCTGAATGTGGGAGGCACATGGGATGTGCTGCAGGGACACCCCAGCTTGTGAGGAAGGGGGGGCTCAGTCTTGGAGCTGAACCTGGACATGCCCCTGGCAGACACCCCATGGCTCACGAGTATCCTCTCCAAGATAAGCCACAGGTGGCTGATCATTTCAGTATGAGCCATGTCCTAGATTGAGAAACACCAGCCAGAAACACCACGCTAAAAGCTGAGCTAACTCAGCACTAAAGCAACTGAACAAATATTCACTTGATACAGCAACAGGGTGGCTTTGAGGCTGGTTTCTGCACCAGTATGCTGATTTAATTAATCTTCAAGCTTCAAGGTCAAAGCAGCAGCAGCAGCTATGTCAGACCTAGCTCACCAAAATCTTTCCCCCTGCATATTGGCCCAGAGTAGTTTCTCTTCAAAGGAAAAAGAATCTTACGTGGTTTTGTCTCTGTGATTTTTTTCCCCTGCCTGTGATTGTGGGTCTTTCCATTAGTTCTTTGTCTATTTCCTGTACATAACAACACCAGCTGTAAAGCAATAAAGCAGTGATTACTTTGGAGTGAACCTGCCACTGCTGCTGATATGAAAGCTGGTGCTCATGCTGCTCCTCAGATTGCAGCTTCCAAGGATAGGAGATAAATCTTTCTAGGGGAGCACCTGCTCTTCATTGCCTGTAAAATTCAATACCCTGAAATCAATTAATTCTTAATGTAATGTTATTAATCAGTGTTCCATTGTCTGGAGTGATCCATTGGTGACTTTAGACTAATTCTGTTCAATTTTTCCTGGACACTGGCCTTCCCCACCAAAATGTCTGGGGGAGGCTGTGGTTTCCCACAGCTGCACTGGGGCAGACCCAGCAGTGATGCTGTTGGCTGCTGCATTTTCTCCCAGCTGCAGGGTGCTAATTGGTCAGCCATGTGCAAATGAGAATGTAGTTGCATGCCACAAAATGCAGATACTGTCTGAGGCAAATCTGTGGGGTGGCCATGGAAAAAGAGCAGATAACACATATGAGCTGACAGGCACCACCACGGTGCCTATAGATGTTCTCTAGTTTAAGGTCAAGTGATAAGGAAGAATTACTTTTTAGGAGCTTTAAAAGTAGCAAACATCTCTATTTCCCATGCTTTGTAAACATGGAGGAAAAACACCTTGTTTTTCCTTATCTGGTTTTGTGCTTAGAAAGACATTGAGCTTTTAAGACAGTGTATTGGGAGATTATATATATAATTTTTCCCCTCCAAATCTGTAAATGCTTTCTCTTTTCTTCTCTTCAACTAGTTTCTCAAGGAGGAAGAGATGCTGGACAAGGTAGAGCTCTGGGCACAGAAGTACCCACATGCTCATGCTATGTGGTTTGGGAGTTTCTCAGCATTCCTGATTGTCACTGATCCCGACTATGCCAAGGTTCTGTTGAACAGAGGAGGTGAGAGATTATGGCTTCAGCTGGGGAGCAGCAACACCAGCCTGCAGATTTTCCATGCCTGCCTCAAAATTTACAGCAAGGCAGGGTTTCACAGAAAAGTTTTCTTGCAGAAATCATCTAAAGGCATGGAGAGATATCACTCCTTCATGCTGTGCCCTGGGTTTTTCAGGCACAGGGCTGCAGGACTGACCTGACTCCAAATCCATTGCTGGAAAATCAGACTTGCTCAAGTGCTCCTTGAAAACTTAACTGCTCAGTGCCTGATCCCAGCAAGCAGAAGACACCTGGGAGCTTCTTTCTAGCTTCACAGTTCTGGCTTCTACTGCAGAGAAGTATCTTTAGTGCATTGAGAAGAAAAGGTGCTGAACAGTGATGTCTGAGAGGGTTAATCATTTATCACACTACACAGACTTTGGACTACCAATATTCTTGTTTTTTCCAGTATGAGCATCTGCTTTTATATGTATTTATTGCAGCTGGCAGAGAAAAAGTTGTTTTGTGTTGAAATATTGGGAGTTCTGCACGGATGCCACTGATTTTGCTTCATACCCAAACAAAAGTGAGAGCCCAGAGGGAGCATTCAGCTGCAAAGCTGGATTCATGCTATTGAAATATTTACCATTTTATTTTCTCTTTATTTTTTTACAGATCCCAAGGATAACATCAGCTATAAGCACCTTATCCCATGGATTGGTATGTATTCCCTGGGCTTTGCCTGGGAGGAACAATTCTGAAGTTAGTAAAAAGCATGCTATAAATGAACAGCATTGTACCTGTTCCTTGATGGAGTTATAGCTAAAAGCTTCTTGAAATGACTACATTTACTAAAAAAAGTGCTAAGTAGTTCTATTTATTTTCAGGGAAGGTAAGTTCAGACATAACATATCTACAAATACTTACATTCCATAGATAGCACAGACAGTGATGGGGGAATCTTAAATTCATTGGAGGACTGGTGAAAAATATATCTGCTGTTCTGAATTTCTCTTTTCCAGTAGTGTTGGTGTTTCTTCTCAGAGACACCATTGTGCCATTTTGGTGAGCAGGGCTTTGCTCTGGGAACCCTGGGACTGATGGCAGCATTTGGAAATACCCTTTCACAGCAGCTCAGATAGCAGATTTAATCACACTCCAAGCAGACAGCTGAGAGAAGCCTGCTTGTGCCCAGCAAAACATGCCTTGCCTGTGTTTTCCCAGGGAATGGGTTGCTGATCTTACATGGGCCCAAATGGCACCAACACAGAAAACTCCTGACCCCAGGGTTTCACTACGATGTCTTGAAGCCGTACGTGGCCCTGATGGCAGAATCTACAAACGTGATGCTGGTAGGACTCATGATGCTCCTCTCTCTGCCCTGTTTTTCTTTCCCCATCCTGTCTGGTTAGGAGGTAAATGCTGGAGCAGGCCTTTCTTTATCTGGTAATTGTAAAGACACACTGTGCCCTGGTGGCAGATCTTTCTGAGTCACCCCAAATCCCTGCCCTTGAGCTGGAAGGGATCAGCATCCCTTGGAAGGGATGAGCAGGTTGAGCCTCCCTGCAATGGCAATGTCTCTGGTATTGCCTTGGGATCTGTGGCTGAGACTTCAGGATTGATGTTACTACCATCCCCAAACCGTGCATGATCTCAGTTCCAACAGCAACTTCTTATAAGGTGTTAGTCTAAATAAAGAATTGAGGTAAATAAATGTTCATAATAAATCCGCCAAAAATAAAGGTGGGAGCAGAGCTATGCTGTGACCTAAGGTTAAAGGATATTATTTGCTGTCAACATACCCATGACTGGACTGCAATCCCTGTCATACCTCATAAACAGTGAAAATGCCTTGTTCTTCAATCCACTGGTGCTGGGCAGGATGGAATCCAGTAGAAATTACAGGAGAAGGGCACCAGGCTTTGTGCATGTTAAAGAGGATTCTGGATGCTGGATCTATTCCTTCTCCTTCACCTCCCTCACTCCAACCTCCCTGGCAGCCTCAAATAGTTCCTGGCTGGATTCCTCCTACTGGCCCAGGGAGCAGCCAGGAGCCGGGGGCTGGAGAGCCAGGAGAGCTTTTGCAAGGCTCAGAAGCGCCTGGGAGTTTGAAATTCCTTGTGCAGAACGCCAATTGTGTGAGCCCGTGCCACCAGGTGGCAATCGCTGCTTGTGCTACGGACAGGACGTGCATCTGTCCCCATAAGCCTGGTTTGGTGCTGTGGAGCTCAGATGTCACCGTGCTCTTCCCTCCCTTTCTCAGCTTTTAAGTCCACTCATTCCCTACAGCCTCGAGGATTGATCATCACTTCGTGTCTGCTGGGGAAGAGAGGCAGGATTTATAGTTTCTCTAGGGGTGCCCTATGCAAAGAGTTGAGCAAGAGCTCCTGTATTACTTGTTGGCAAAACATACTGGCACAGATATCATTGGCAGAAAAAAACTTGCTCTCTTGGGCATCAAACTCAAATGTGCTTAAGAACGCACCCAATGAAGCCCAATGCCAGCATATGCTGCTCCTGTACAGAAAAACACTCTACATCCTAGGAAAGACTTAGGTAATTCCCCATCACCCAGAAATGCACCTGTCCTGGGCTTCTCCAGGGTGCTCTTGCCTCAGGATAGGGTGTAGCAGGGCTCACCACCAGGATGCAAGAAGAGCAGCTTCCTGAGGCAAATCTCAGATTAATCATCCATCCCACTCTTGGCTTCTCTTCTCTGGGATTTTGCTGGCAAATAGAGACCCCCTTCTTTTTTTCCCATTTCTCTGGGATGTATCTCTATCTGAGCACTCATTTAACCAGGGGGTAACTGCAGATCATGCAGAGCTGACCCTTGTCTTCCCATTTCTGTCTCCTTTGTGCCCTAGGATAAGTGGGAGAAACTGGCAGCAGATGGGAAGCCAGTGGAGCTCTTTGAGCACATCAGCTTGATGACTCTCGATAGCATCATGAAATGTGCCTTCAGTTGTCACAGCAACTGCCAGACCAACAGGTCAGTGCTGGCTGCCCCAAACCCTGGCAGGAAGTTTGCAGCTCAGAAGGGAAATGGGCAAATGGCTTGTCACTGTGCTCCCAATTTTACAAGCTTCCTATTCCCCTTTCTCCAGGAAAAACACCTACATCCAGGCTGTCTATGACCTCTGCCACAGGGTGCACCAGCGCCTCCGCATCTTCCCCTACCACAATGACATAATTTACTGGCTCAGCCCCCAGGGGTTTCAGTTCAGGAAGGCCTGCAGGATCGCTCATGACCACACAGGTATTCCCTGCTGGCATTCTCTCCCAAAACTTCCGACAGAGGCAGTCAGGTTTTCTCCTTGCCTGTGCAGTGATTCTGCCCGGAGGCTCAGAGCTGAGATCCAAGCAGGGCATCAGCTTGCAGTGGTGATCTGATCTAGGCATGAAATCAAAGGGGTCTCTCAGTCAGTCACTGAACTGGACTAATGGAGGAATTTCCCTCTGGAAATGCTCCTATAAAATGGTCAGAGAACGGTGAGACAAGGAATGGGCACTACAGGCAACATCAGTGCAAGGAATGATTTTCCATTCCAATCCAGGTGTGATTTAAATGCATGAGGGGTGTGTAAAGTAGGCCGAGAAGTCCATGGTGAACAAAGAAAAGGATGACAATATCCATGGCATTCGTGGCCACGCTGCTGAAAAAGCCAAAGTGCCTGGGATACAGAAGCACAGGTCAAATGCATCATGGACTGAGCAGTGCTCATCTCCTTGGGTGAGATTTGCATTCAAGCCACAAAGTTTGAGATGAGTTTTTGAGATGCAAAACTCTGAGTTTTGCATTCAAAGTTTTGCAGTTTGGCATCTCCTGGCCCTGCTGAACCTTTAACCCTTTCTCCCCCAGACAAGGTGATCCGTGAGCGAAAGGAATCCCTTAAAGATGAACGGGAATTTGAAAAGATACGGAAGAAGAGACATTTGGACTTTTTGGACATTCTGCTGTGTGCCAAAGTGAGTGGCAAAGAGTGTGTGTGTGGCAAGGCACAGAGTGCAAAAGCAAGTCAGTCTTTGCAGGGGTGCCACAAGCCACCAGAGACACTCAGGACTGCACAAGCCATTAAGAAAAAATTAGCCCTGTCCCACCCAATTGAAGAGAGGCCAAGGTGATCCAGTTTTCCATTGTTGAAGTGTTGGCAGTGTCTTTTTGGGTATACAGCATGCAGAGGGATTCTGTAGTCCTGGTGGTTTAATATGGGGGGGATAAAGAGATTTAAAAGTGAAGGGAAAGGAGCTCTGAATTAATTGTAAACAGACAGTGATTTTGTTTACATGTATCCCACAGATGTCATCACCCCTTTTGCAATAGCAGAAAGAATATAATGGCTCCTACTGGGATGTTTGCATATTTTTTGACATGTGTGTGTGTGTTATTGTAATAGATATATGAATTTTATATATATGGCCACTGAGAGTGTCTCTGGACTGTTAGGATGAGAATGGAGCTGCACTGTCCGATGAGGACCTGCGTGCTGAGGTGGACACATTCATGTTTGAGGGCCACGACACAACAGCCAGCGGCATCTCCTGGCTCTTCTACTGCCTGGCAGTCCACCCTGAGCACCAGCAACGGTGCAGGGAGGAGATCCAGGGCATCCTGGGGGACCGGGACACAATCCAGTGGTAAGGCTGCAGCAATTCCCCTGCTGGTCACTCTTTTCCTATTGCTGCTGCTTCTAAGTGAGCGGTACCTTCAAGGCTCAAAAGCTGGGGGTGCTAAAGGTTGCTGCATGCACAGGGACTTCACAGGATGGAGCAGATCCTTCAGCTAAGTCTGCCACCCTGGAAGGGACATTCTGGATGCCATCCCAAGTCCTGGGCAACCAGCACTGCTCTCTCCTATTTTCTCACCACAGGACGTCATGGATACGCTTTTCACTTTTCCCTGTCACTTTGTACTTGAGCTTGTTCAGGTTGTTCAGAAGTGCCCTGGCACCATCAGCCTCCAGCAGCCTGTGGCTGGGCATTGTGGGTCCCTCTGTTGTGTTGCAGTCAGCTCAGAGGCTGGATGGCTGTGGGTGAAGGGACCTCCCAGCACAGGCAGTGAGGGAGTGTGGGGCTCAGCCTGCCTGTCCCAACAGGGAGGACCTGGGCAAGATGACCTACAGCACCATGTGCATCAAGGAGAGCCTGCGCCTCTACCCGCCCGTGCCTGGCGTGTCCCGGCAGCTCAGCAAACCCGTCACCTTCCCCGACGGACGCACTTTGCCCGAAGGTCTGTAAATCCCATTCCTGCTGCACAGAGCTCTGCTCTCAGCCACCAGCTGCATCCTCGTTGGCACAGATGTTCAGGCAGGGCTGTGCAGATGTTGGCTGGTTTCTTTGTCATTGAGCCCTTTTCTCCTCCTCCATTGTTTTCCAGGCAGCGTCACTGCAATAAGCATTTACCTCATTCACAGAAACCCTGAAGTATGGAAAGATCCTTTGGTGAGTTTTCTTTTCATCTCCTAATAACTTTTTCCATTTATGCCTCTTCTCATGTACCCTTCACCTGTCAGCAGAAAAGTATAATTCTCTCTCTGCTATGGGGTTCTTATAAATTAAGGGGTGTCACATTTCTCAAGAAACCGGTCAGTACTGTGTTCTTTAAATAATCGCTTTTTCTTGCTGCATATTCTTCATTTCCAGGTGTTTGACCCTCTGCGTTTTTCCCCCGAGAATGTCTCTGGCAGGCACTCTCATGCCTTTCTGCCTTTTTCTGCTGGAATGAGGTAAAGGGAATTGAACACTGAAGGAGCAGTGGGCAGAGACCACCACCTGCAGTCCTGGCCCTGCAGAATTACACAGTTAAATAGTTAAATGAGGACATAGGTGTTAGTGCAACAGAGGGGTTCTGATACCAGCAGGCAAAATGGGAAGGCAGCATTGCCAAGCCCCTTCTGGAGACAGGGAACTGGGTCCCAAGGCTGTGGAACGTCCTGTTGGCATCCTGCAGGGAGCCTGCAGCATTCTGATCTCACCAGCTCTCCTCTCCTGAAGGCAGAGACCCCACCCCACCCTCCTGCCCTTTGATTCCCCCCTTTCCCCCTCTTCCCAGTCCTTCCCTTTGCCCTGTGCTGACTCCTTCAAGGCAAACACCTTGCAGACCTTCCCTGCTTGGAGACCCACCACCTCCTCCCTGCTGGCCTGTCCTTTGGCTTCCCCATCCCCCTCCTTGTCCATGCTCATTGACCACACATCAGGAGCTCCCGATGTTCCTCCCAGCTCCTCCTGCTCAGCCCATGCCTCTGGGGACCCCTGAGCTGCAGAGGGGGAGGATATGTGCTGGTGTGGGAGGGCTGGGATGGAGCTGTGTGGGTTTGCTGTGCCCAGCTGTGGATGCAGCTGTGCAGGGTTGCTGTGCCCAGCTGTGGATGCAGCTGTGCAGGGTCCCTGTGCCCAGCACTGGGATGCAGCTGTGCAGGGTTGCTGTGCCCAGCTGTGGATGCAGCTGTGCAGGGTCGCTGTGCCCAGCAGTGGATGCAGCTGGCTGAGCTGCTGTTTCTCTGCAGGAATTGCATCGGGCAGCAGTTTGCCATGAACGAGATGAAGGTGGCGCTGGCTCTGACCCTGCGGCACTTCGAGCTCTCGCCCGACCCTGCCACGCCTCCCCTCAAAATAACTCGGGTCATCCTTCGCTCCAAGAATGGGATTCACCTGTATTTAAAGAAAATCCGCTGATGCTGGAAAACATCTTGCATTCACCAGAGGGAGGAGCCAAGCAGATGACAGGACAGTGTGTTTCTGGGGCAGAAGTGCAGGGCAGGATTTGGGGATGAGGATTCCTGATTTCTGTGCTTCATCCACCAGCTGAAAGCCCTTTTCAGGTGAGGCTGGGATGCCACTGCACAGACTGTCTGTTCCAGGGCACTGATCTGAGAGCAGCCAGCCACGGCCACTCTGTTTGTCCCCTTGCACTGCCATAAGGGTGGGCCTGGCCTGGTCTGGGAACATCTGCAGGTCCCACCAGCCTACTTCTTACCAAATCCTGCCTTCACACTCGTGCCCTGGCCAAATCTGTGACCATTTCCAACCCTGCTCTGTCATCAGCACCTTCCTCAGTGCCTAGAGGTCAGCCCTCCTCTCCTGCAGTGGGGACAGCCTGTGACAGACCTCTGTCTCACTTCTCACACTCAGTGGGCCTCTCATTTGTTGAAAGCACTGATTACAGTTTGGGCTCTGAAACTCTGCTCAAACTTCAAAATATTCTGTAACTTTTGTCTTAATAAACCAATAATTTTTCCTGCAACAGCAGCTGTGTTGTTTATATTGCTGGTGCTTGCCCACTTCATCACAAATGCAGTGTAAAACTCCTTTAGAAATGGGAGATTGAGAGGAAGCCCATGAGCAGCAAGAGACCAGCCTGGACAGGCCAGGAAACTGCCTCTGGGTCTCCAGGCAATACAGCATTCCTTCCATGGGCAACTCTTTAACAGGGGTCCAAAAATCAATCATCAGTCAAAGGTATCATAGTTAGAAAGTGTGTGTTGGGGGTGGGGGGAGGTCCCTCTTTTTTTTAGTATTATTTTATTTTCTGAAGCTGATAAAATGATGAGGTTGGTACACTGGAGGCCACTAGTGAGCTGTCCTCTGCCTCTGCAGGAATCATTATTGGCATAGAATATCACACGTCAAGCTGTGAAATCCCAAAAGCTGGGAGAAGGCTGCTGTGCAGCTGGGCAGCAGCAGACTTCATGCAGCCTTCACCTGCAGGGTGTGGTTTGCAGGGATATGCTGGGGCAGCCCAGGAGAAAATCCACTTGCTCCAGCTGCCTGTCCCCTCTTCAGACACGAGATGCAGCTCTTGAGCTGAAATCAGATTATGCAATGGAGTGTGCTTATCAAAATGTCAAAAGTTATGAAACTATGAGACACCACAAGCTCTTTGGAGGGCCATGTCAGGATACAAAATTATCTTGATAAATTAAAAAACTGCTGCTGTGAATGGGATGTGAGTCCGTAAGCACAAGAGCAGGCACAGGCATGGCACAAAACCAAGAGAAAAAATTATTGACAGGCAGCAATTTCTCCAGTGAATGTTCTGTACACAGAGAGAGAGAAAAGGTAATATGAATCAATAATATCTTGGTCTTGCAATCACAGCAAACATCATACTTGGATGCATAAGCACAAATATTTTTCAAAAATTTTTCACTTGCGTCTCTTTCAACAGATAAAATGAGACAGTGTCCTTCAACCCTGTTTGGAGCTTTAAGTATAAAAGCAACAACATCTACTCCAAGCTTACATACTCTAAAGTGCAAAATGAGAAAATTTTTAATCAAAATAACTGAAGTTACCAGAAGTAAATTACATACATCTCTGTATTGGATGCAATTTTCTTATAAAGACAAGATCTGAAAAAAATACCATCTAAAGAGGAGTGGATGAATCTTGGCATTCCAATGTGAAAGATTAAATCTCAAGCATCTAATGAGCAAGGGCAAAGGCTGAAATCATGGTGTACTCACTGAAAGAGAGTAGGTTAAAGGAGGATCACACTGGGGGAACTTGACATACCTCATGTAGATAAATGGCAGCTGCTAAATTGCATTTGGGTAGATACAGATTGCACAATGTCAAGCACTCCCTAAGATACCTAATAGCCCTGGCATAGGTTATTTGGAGAATATGCAGAGGTTTTAAAACTTGGTGACTGGTTTTAGTGAATACTCCAGAAGCCCAGAAGAGGTAATGGATGTAGTAGAAGGCTGGGGCAAGTTTGGTTTGGTTTTTGTGAGTGGGTTGAACTGAGTACAGGAGAAGCTGCACTGCTGCTATCCCAACTGGAACATCCAACACATGAATATTCCTGCCCCTGGGATGGAAAAGCCTGACTGCTCCTGTCTTCATCCTGCGCAGTCATTCTCTCCCTCGTGACTTTTAGGATTCACTAAAAAGCTGCCTCTTCATACCTGAAGAGGAAAAGAAAGGGAAGATGCTCTGCAGTATTCTCACTGTCCTCTCAGAGTTGTACTTGTGGCTTCTTCGTGTGAGAAGGGAGCAGAGCCTGGTTTCCCCTGCAGCCACCCAAACCCAGCATAAAATCTGCTCACAAATCTCTCCTGTGATGGTGCTGTCACCCCCTGAGGCCAGGAAACTGGAGACACTCTGTTAAAAAACACCCCACATGGCAGCCCAGCTCACAATTTCCCTGACCCATGTGGGCCAGCACTGCATGCCAGCCAGCCTGCATCCCACATCTGCATCCCACATCCCATATCCTGCATCCTACATCATCCCACATCTTGCATCTCACATCCCATATCTCATATCCTGCATTCTGCATTGTTCCACATCCTACATCATCTCATGTCTTGCATCACAGATCTTCCAGGGCTGCCCTGCTTCTGAACTGGAGAGCAGGGCTGAGGCTGCAACAGGGCTTCTGGAGCTACTGTGCCCCAGTGCCAGGAAAAGCCAGATCTTCCTAGACTCTGATTCCTGACAGCATTCCCCAAATCTACCTTTTCCCTCCTAGATATTAGAGATATGGTAAGGACCTGATGACATGGGATGTATTGCTCACTGCAAAAAAGACAGTCCCAGCTGCAGAGTTTACCTCCTTCTTTCATCCTTCCCTACTTTTTGCAGAAAGGGTAATTGCAAAGATGATGGGCTAACCTTCAATTGCATGATTCAGGCCTTCAGATATCTGTTGCAGCAAGAGCTCCTGGTGATGGCTGTAGGAGGTTCAACAAGGGTCAGTCTTGATTTCAGTTAAAACCATCTTGGATCTTTCTCCTTGTGGTTTGGTTTTACAACAGCAGCAGGGCAAAGATGCCACCCACTCCTGCAGTTATTCCTTTCCCCACAGCCTCTCACAGGCACTATGCAGCTACATCCCTGTCATGGGAAGGTGTCTGTCTATCTCAGTTTGGTGGGAGCACTTTTTTGGATGCTTCCAGGCACGTTGGAAGTAGCAGGACCAGCAGGGAGAGCCACTGGCTTGCAGCACCGGGAATGCAGTCCCTGCACAGGACTCCCACTGCTCTCCAGGCAAATTTACTGTCAGATGGCACCAGCAATTTCCATCCAAACTCCACGGGGATTTTACACTGGAAGAAGCCTGTAAATTAAATAAGTATTGCAACATTTTTGTAAGACAGCTGTATTAAATGCTTCCAGACATACATTCATCCTTGAGACATATGTGGTCAGATGGGATCCAGGCAGCTTGCATTACTCTGCAACACTTGCTGGGCTCTTGCCATGGTTTTCTCATCTATCATCTGTTTGGAAGCTTGAAATGTTATTATTTTTTTTGGCATTACTGCTACATTTCATCTGTCATCACTGTGTGCTGCAGGAACACACAGGGACAGATGGGCCTGGACTCTTCTTCCTATCTGAATAAACACAAGCACAACCAGGGAAAGCAGCTGCTGCAAGGTCACACTCTGGGGCAAAACACCCATTTACCACCTAAATTTCACCTGCTCAGTAAACCACTTTTTCTGCCATGAATTCCAACCATGTGAGTTAAATCAGTGAGGAACATCCTCTTTTTCTTCTGCTTAGGTGTCTAAAGGGAGTGGAGAAATTCCCAAGACCCAGGAAGCAAATTCCACAGCCTGCTGTGTCCATGGCTGCGGTATGGGATGGAAATTCTCCAGTGTCAGTGGGTTGTTTCATGCTGATGGCCTGAACTGTTGTGACCCCACTGCCATCACGTGGACATCCACAGCACTAAGACAAGTCTCCAGAGGCTCTCTGCAAATGTTTAACAACTTTCCATGTTTCCAAGTGTCCTTTAACACCTAACTGCAGTTTCACTGGTCTCAAATGTTCTGAAAGTCAAGCCAAGCTTCTGTTCCCCCTGCCAGCTTCCCCAGACCACTGTGACTATCAGAAGACCTTTGTACCTGCTTTTCCATGTTGAGATCTTCTTCTGGAATCCTCCATCACCAGGGCTGTAGATTCTCCTGGTGCTGGCCAGGTTGTTTGTTGATTGTTCTGGCCTTGCCCCAGGCCCTTACAATGATCAATCCAACACTGTCCCTTTTCACTTTTCTTCACTTGCAGCTCTGCAGCAACTTCACTTTGCCTTTTGAACTTTCATCATTTCTTCCCCTCCAAAACTCCCTGAGTTTTCTTCCCCAGGCTGAGTGTTCATGGTTTCTCTTGCTGTCAAACCTCTGAAATACATGAGAAAGGTTTTTATCTCACCTCCACCAGTGAAATATAGAATGCAGAGGCTGGAGGCTGGATTAAACCCAGTTTTGCTATCGCCAAAGATCAGATTCTTGCTCCAAATCCCCATAAATGTGGATTTAGCCAGTTTGTCCTCTATGTTCCCCTCATATCAGCTCAGCACTTGACATCTCATGTGAACTTCAAGACAAACCATATCCCTTCTCTTCACCTCAACAGAGCTTACTGGTTAATTTATAATTGTAAGGAAAACATTTTGGTAAAAGTTTACCCTGTTCATGGTCAAACCCACTCTCCTGGGACTTCATCAGCACTGAAAATTCCTGTGTTATAAAAGTTTAATCTGAAGCTGCACCAGAAACTCCGTCCTCAGGCCTGGCCCCTCCACCTCTGGGTTTAGGGGTATTTATGGGTTATTTTATAGGGGATTGCTGAAAGGTGCCAGCCAAATCCAGATTGGTCAGTCTGGTAATGATGTAGGTACCACAGGACATTCCAAACAGCTCCATTGGCACTGAATAGAGGCTCAATCATCAGACCTCCCACTTTTCCTTGTGCAGACCTTGTGAGGGACCCAGCTATACAGCATCATAATATTTATTAATATTCTGCAGGTCTTCATGTGAGAGTTTGTCACGTCAAACTGGGTCCCTTATGCTCTGGCTATACCCAAAGCCCTCCCTAAGAAATACCCAACTCGATTACAGCTTTCAGCCTCCTAAAGATCAGCTTTTAACTCTCCCCTGAACTTTCCCACAGATCCAGCTGGCTCAGTATAAAAAGGTACTCTAACTTTCATGAAGATGGCCAAGTGTGTGAAAACGTAACGCTGCTCAGTGTAGTGCCTGCCAGGGATGTTCTCCAAAGCAATGGCAATGAACCTCAGATAAACATTGTGGGTTTTTTGGCAAAATGACTCTACAAGCAGAAAATGTGGGACATGGCATATTTTAGACTAAAAACTAAAGGGAGGTATCCAAACATCAGAAGTCCTGTCTCAGAGATGTGTTACATTGAGGAGGAGTGCTCACAGCAGCCCCTGTGTTGTAGCCTACCAGACTATCAGTCTCCCCAGCTGATAACTCATTTGATCCTCATAATACCCCAAGACACAACTGGGACATTATTTCAGCCCACCTGGGGATCCTGTTTGTTACAACATGAATGGAAGTCACCCACACACATCAGACTTCCAGCCCCAGTTCTCCACCAGCTCCACATTGCCATTCCAGGTCTCTGGGCTTATGGGATGGGAACTCAGGTAAGCAGCAGGATCTGCACAGGGATTGCAAGGAAGGCCCTACCTGGGCCAAGGAGCCCTTGGGGAACAGGGCCACATCCCTTGTGTGCTGCTGGAGTGATGCCCATTCTCTGGCTTACAGCCCAGCAGAGCTGGGTGGTGCTGCAGGCACCCAGGGCACTGCTTGCACAGGCAAAGGTGGCTGACTCCATGCAGCCCACTCACTGAGAGGAGGTGGCCTGGGTGTTCCTCACTTCCCGTGGGCAGATGAGCACCTCCTACACCTGCACCCCCTGAGGACAGCACAGAGCTCAGCTGGAGCTCCAGCCCGCCTACCTCTCACCTCCTCCCTCCTCTGGCTTCATCCAGCTGGGCATGGGGGACTGTGGGTGGGTGTGACAGCACTGCTGGGACTTCAGCAAAAGCAGGAGCTGTTCAGAGGCTGGTTGTTCCCCAGGTCGCAGGGACAGGCTGCACAAAGCAGGTCAAAGGGGGACTGGGTGACGCAGTGTTTGTCCTGATGTTCCAGCAGCTATAAATTGCTGTCAGCACCACTTCACCAGGTTCAGCTCCTGCAGAGGAGGAGGGAGAGGATTTTTACCTGCACTGAGCTCCCCACTTGGCTCAGGTGTGAGAGGAGCAGGTGAGAAACAGGCAGAGAAGGCAGTGTCCTGGACCAGCATGGCATCTCTGCTGGACAACATAACCAGACCTTCTGCTGCCGTCCTGCAGCTCTCTGTGCTGCTTGGTGTAATCTTTGTGCTGCTGAAAGTGCTCCAGTTGTACTGGGAGAGGAAGAAGCTCATCAAAGCTCTGGAGGCATTCCCTGGCCCCCCAAAACACTGGCTCTATGGCCACAATCACCTGGTAAGGAGTAACTGGGCTCAGTCAGGGTGGGTTTGTCCCAGCTGTGCAAGGTACCAGTCAGGATGAAGAAGGACTGGATGGGGTGTGTGTCCCCTGCTCCTTCCTCTTCGTACAGGAGAGGACTTCTGTGCAGGGAGAGCCAAGGCTTCTGCAGGGCAGGAGGAAAAGGTGCTGGATACGTGGTGTGCATCATTTGGCAAAAAAGAATCATGGTCTCTTCAGTCGTGTCCTTAAACAAAGACTCATGGGATTTCCATGAAGTTATTAAAATATGAGCAGTCATAATGAGCAATAGTAATCATAATGTTTCTTTGCTACATTAGACCTTCTACCAATGGGAGTGTCTTACCCTATAGCTGCTGAAGAAGACATGGCCACAGAAACAGGGTGTTTTAATGCAGACATTTGCATCATGCTATAGTGCAGATGCTTTGCTTTCACATTGCATGCACACCTTGCACTCCTGAAATTGGAGAACAGGGGTGTGACAGCCTTGGTCCTCCTGGCCTACCAGACATCCTGACATTGCCTATGCCAGCTGTAGATCCCAAGTGCAGCACAGAGCTGCTCCAAGCCCAGGCCATCCTAAGGTGTCACAGCTGCCACCAGCCCAGCAAGGGACTCTCCATGGAGCTGTCTTGTGCTGCAGGGGTTTGGTGGCTCAGGCAGCTTTGCCTCTTGTGCACACTCCCTTTGCATTGCTCATCCTCTCCTCTACCTGCAGCATAAAAGTCCCTGTGTGACAAGTCCACCCACTCTTCCTTCATTTCCCAATAGAGAATTTCTGCTCTCCTTGACATGTCCCTCTTTTTCTGCCTTTATTAATCAATTATTAACTCTCATTGCAGACAAAATCTGAAAGTTTTTTACACCAAGTAGTGCAATGGGGACAAGAATACCCCTATGCCTTTCCCAGATGGTTTGGACCAACCCTGCCGTCTATAATCATCCACCATCCTGAATATGCCAAAACCATACTTGGCCGAACAGGTGAGTCTCTACCTTTGGTTTTGAGAAGTCTTTGACACTTTCCTACCAAGAAAATACTGGGAAACTTGCCTGGAATTATTCCCTTTGCCAGCTTCCTTCATAGCTGTTGCAATTCTTCTTTTGCTCCTCCTCACAACTCCCAGGCTGCCCCAGGTTTCATGGAGCAGTGTGTATTCCTGTGCAAAACAGAGACCAGGTGCCTGTTCCTTCCAGTTTTCAGTCAGTTCCCAGTGTGAGGGTCATCTGTCTTACTGTCTTCTATGGCTTCTACAGCCACAATATTTGTACGCCCCAGTAAACCCAGTAAAAATGTGAGCTGTCATGGCAATGGCAAGAGGTGTTGGCAAATAGCAAATTTTCTCTCTTTTTTTTGTGCTGAATTCATCAGTTATTCATACATTTCTGATATTTGTTCCATTTTATAGATCCCAAGGCTAGTGCAGTCTACAAACTCCTAGTTCCCTGGATTGGTAAGTCCAAAGCAGTAGTAAGGCTGTCAGAGCTGTGATCAGAGCCTGCAGGAACCGATGGTGCCTTTGCTCTTTGTGCTTCAGGGAAAGGGCTGCTGGTCTTGGAAGGACGCAAATGGTTCCAGCACAGGAAGATGCTCACCCCAGCCTTTCATTACAATGTGCTGAAATCTTACGTGACCCTGATGTCAGATTCAGTCAAAGTGATGCTGGTAAGAATCCCCACTCCTGCTACTTTTACCGTTCAGCTCCGAAACAGTGAAAATAAAAAATGAGTACAAGAAAGAGACGGCACTTAGAGAGTTTCTACTTTTACTTAAATTTTGGTGTCGTTTTGAAGTTGTAAAATTGCTCTCCTCACCTTTCTTTGGACATTCCACTTACTCTTTCTCTTTGTTTGCCAATAAAATCAATCACTGCAAGAATATCCTTTCATACCCTCATGTGTACCCTTTCATACCTGGGAAAAGAAATGCACAGAAGAGTTAGATTATGTTCAAGGAATGTATCATGAACTAGGGCCTCTGCTTCCAGAAAAGAAAGCAATTAGCAGTGTGGATCTGGGAAGAGGGACAGATGTGGTCTCTCCTTACCCCTGGCTCTTCCTCTAGGATAAATGGGATAAGAGGATCACAGAGAGGAGGTCAGTGGAGCTCTTTCAAGATGTCAGCTTGATGACACTAGATACCATCATGAAAAGTGCCTTCAGTTTTAATTCCAACTGTCAGACTCAGAGGTCAGTGTCTGAGTTGTCAAACCCTGGGGAAGCAAGAGCTCCTGTTGCACCACTCATTTTGCTAACACCAGCTTTAACTTTGGTCTCCTTACAGTGACTCCCACTATTATATTAGAGCTGTTTTTGATGTGACCTACCTCCTGAGCAATAGGATCCGGAATCTCTCCCTCAAGGATGTCTTCTACGACTTCACTAGCAACGGCCGCGCATTTCAGAATGCCTGCAAGCTGGCCCAAACCCACACAGGTATTCCTGCCCCCTTCTCCCCAGTCCTGTCTCCCCTTTGAACCTCTCTGCCACTTGCCCCTGGAGTGGCTCAGAGTGGGGTTCAGCAGGGACTGGCCAGAGGGTTACACCTTAAACAGAGTCCGAGCTGATGACCGAGCAGCCAAGTACGTGAGGGTACTCTGGAGGGACAGGATACAGAGAACTGATCTCCCCTCTGTGCAGATCAGGTAATAAAAGAAAGAAAGATGTTGCTCTCCAATGAGAAGGAGCTTGAAAATATCCAGAAGAAGAGGCACCTGGATTTTCTGGACATTCTTCTTTGTAGCAAGGTAAATGTTTGAGATGATCGTACCAAATGCCAAAGAACAGAACTGTGTGGCACCGAGGGTGCATCAGCCCAAGAAGGGAAGCACAAGAGACACCGAATCATACAAGTGCTTTGGGTAAAAATAAAATACCTGTGTGCTTAGGAACGAAATGCTCTCCTCTTTCTTAGGATGAGAATGGAGTTGGACTGTCTGATGAGGACCTGCGTGCCGAGGTGGACACCTTCATGTTTGAGGGTCATGATACCGTGGCCAGTGCACTCTCCTGGCTCTTCTACTGCATGTCACTGCACCCTGAGCACCAGCAGCGGTGCAGGGAGGAGATCCAGGGCATCCTGGGACACCGAGACACCATTGAGTGGTGAGCTAGGACTTCTTATTCCTCTGCCTTGAACTCTTTTAATTTACCCTTGACATTTACCCTTTGACATGGTTCCTCCCAGTTTACCCTTGAAGGCCTTTGACATGGTTCCTCCCAGCATTCTTCTCCCTAAATTGGAGAGATAAGGATTTGATGGGTGGACTGTTCAGTGGTTGAGGAATTGTTTGGAAGGTGGCATCCAGTGGGTGGTGGCGAATTGTCCAGATCAGTGACAAGTGGTTTCCCTCCGGACTCTGTGCTGGGACAGACCAGTAACACCTTTGTCAATGATATAGAGAAAGGGATTTAGTGCATCCTCAGCAAGTTTTCTTTCAGGGAGGATCTTGGGAAGATGACCTACAGCACCATGTGCATCAAAGAGAGCTTACGCCTGTTCCCACCAGTTGCTTCTGTGTCCCGAGAGCTCTCCAAACCCATCACATTTCCTGATGGACGCAGCCTGCCAGCAGGTAGGTCTGTTGAGTTTGTCCATCCTTGCTGCTGCTGTCTGTGGCAAGCAGGGCTTCCTTGCTCTGTGTGGAGGGGCTGGAGGGTCTCCAGACTCCCTTCTCTCTCCTGTAGCTGGATGGAGCTACCACAGCTTACTGCCACAGTTAGCCTGGCCAAAGAGAGTCCAAGGACCTGCTCCAGAGCTCAGAGGGGCCTTGTGGAGTGTTGTTCCTGGCCAAGTGAAAATGATACACTGGTAGACAAAAGGGACCCAGCTCTGAGGGCTTTGCTTTTGACGTGTGATGTTTCCAGGAGATCTCTGCCAGATCTCCAGCAACAGCCCTGCAGAGACCAGCATGTCCCAAAAACACCTCTCCTGCATTCTCACTCTGAGCTGTCATGAACTTTTTCTCACTTTTTTACAGGCTGCCAGGTTGGAGTGAATATATTTGCTATTCACAGGAACCGGGATGTGTGGGAGAACCCTGAGGTATTTCACCTTGATAACAAGAAAGGGAGGATGGTCTCTGAGCCCAAACATCCATTCCCCTTGAAGAAGGCACCTGTGCACCCTGCTATGTTTTTTTTTCCCTTGTCATTCCAACAGTCCACATCTAAATACGAAGTTCAAACACCCCAGAGGCTTGAAACATGACAAAGAGCTGGGAAAGGATGTTCAATAGTCTCTCTTTGTGCTTGGTGACACAGAGATGTTCTGACTGCTTTCAGCTGCCCTGCACACACTTAGAATGTTAGAAGAAGCCCCAAAGAGAGTGTGTGAATTGAAGATGATATTTTAGAGGCTTCAAGAAATAACTGGAAAATTTGAAGAAGGCTGCATAGCTGCCTTTCTCTGTCTGGAGAGCAAGGATCAGGCATCTCTGGAATGGAGGGATCCTGGCTTGATCCTTGCTGCCACGGATGAGGAAACACCTGCAGGCATCTTGGGCGTTGTAGTGAGCGCCCTGGGTGTGTCCAAGGGGAAGATCCACTCAGTGGCCCTGTAGAGAGATGACTGTCATCTGCAGCTCCCCAGGAAGAGCAGAGCCCACATCCAGCCCTAGCCTGGGGACCAGGGAAGAACCTGGTGCTGCTCAGATCACACCAAACCCTGACCAATTGCTCTTTGTTGCTCCCACAGGTTTATGATCCCCTAAGGTTTTCTCCAGAGAACTCAGCACAGAGGCACTCCCATGCTTTTCTGCCTTTCTCTGCTGGATCCAGGTGGGAGATCCTTCATCCCTCTCATTCCTATCAGGCTGCCTTTCATGTGAGACCTAGCTCAGATGTGAGCTTCTAAGGCTAATCCTCCCTCAGTCTTCACAAACCAAGCTGGCTTGGCCAACTCAAACATGCTTTCCATAACAGGATCTCCTATTACAGCATCTCCTGTAGCAGGATTTCCATGCTCCATCAGCTCTGTGGTCACTGTAGGATTTCACACATTTTTCTTGTGGCCTTGTGGAGATGTTTACTTTTTCTGTTGCCTGTGTTGGGACCACCACTCCCTTGTTTAGGGGTGAGTCCCAGTGCACCTCAAAGCCGAGGGGGCCAAGTCTCCATGGGTCCTGTGATGTATCAATAGACAGATGTAGGATACTGAGGTCTCAGTAGTTTGTAAGAGGATCACCACACAGAGCCAGAAATAACCTTGGGAGGTGTCTGGGCTTTTAGCTGGCTCCTGGCTGCACTTCCTAGTGAATAAGCCCCTGTTCTCTCAACCTCATCTCTCTTTTTTCAATGTTTAATAATAAAATAAATAGCAATACCCCACCACAGAGCTGGGTGCATCAGGGGCTTACTTGATAAGCTGCAGTGTCATCCTCGCAGCAGCTGGAGGTCCCCCAGCTCTCACATGGGGTGGGTCCAGCTCGGGGGTGGCTGGGGACGAAGGCAGCAGTCAGAGCACTTGTCACCCTCTCCACAGGAACTGCATTGGGCTGCAGTTTGCCATGAATGAGATTAAAGTGGCGCTGGCCTTGACCCTGCAGCGCTTCGAGCTCTGCCCGGACCCGTCCAAGCTTCCCATAATGATACCACAGCTCATCCTTAGGTCCAGCAACGGGATACACCTGCAGTTGAAGAAGGTTTTTTCTGATCCCACGGGGTACCATGGCAGGGGGGCAAGAGCTCTCCCAAGGGACACCCTCCACCCAGAGGTTTAAGAGGGGATCACCAAACAGACCCACAGTGGATCTCTCCCATATTAACCCCTGTCCTACTATTGTCCAGAGGGGTTTGCTGAGCTCACAAACACCAAACCCAGCAGGTTCAGTTCCCCTCCTTGCAAGGGGAGCAGCACTGCTAAGGGGGTTCCACAGCATCGCTGTGGCTCATCCTTTTCTCCATGGGCATCCTCCACATCCTGCTCATCCCCTCATCTCCAACCTGCCCTCAGACACTCCCTGACAGGACTTCTGCCTGTAGATTCGTCCCACTCTCAGTTCCACTTGGGCTTGGCAGTGAACAACACCCAGCATGGTTTGCAGGGATGCCTAAAGGCTGGGCACAGAGCCCCTGCCCAGCCTCCAGCCTGGGTGTGCCGGGCCAGGAGGCCCTCCCTACATCCCCCTGCCCCACCCTCCCAACGATTCCTGTTCTGGGGCTGGCACTATGCCCACCATTATGGAGATGAATGCTTGTGGTTCTTTTCTGCCCCAGCTCTGAACTTCCTTGAGCTGATGGCGCTCAGGAGCCAGCGCAGAAAATGCCACCAGCTAACTGAGGAAGCAGTTGCCACACTGTAAATAGCATTGTTCTCCTCTCTGAAATGAAAATAAAGCTTTGTGGGGATGATCTCCAAGCATGGCTTTGGCTTCTTTTGCATTTAGTGACCCAGCAGGCCAGAGGCAAGGCTGTGCCCAAGGGTGCTGCACTGTCAGTGTTTTCTCCAGCCACAAGCACTGTTTCCATGCACCCTATTGAGCCTGTTCCCACAGATCCCACAGCATCCATCACCTCACCTTTGACTCCAGGAGTTTCAGTGGTAAGGAAAAACCTGACATGATCTGTGGTCAAACAAAGCAAAGCACAAATACACACTGCACACACAAAAGCGCTGGCGGTAAGAATAAAGTCAGCTTGCAAAATAAAACAAGAGGAGCCATGAGTCTGCCTCAAACCCTGCCCTGCAGAGGCTGACAACAGTTCAAGGGTGGCCTGCCCAAGGGGTGCAGGTGAGCCCTGGCCCTGGAACTGGGCTTGTTGTGGGGGTAGAGGGAGCTTTTCTCCAGCACCAGTCCAGGTGCACCATCTGGATGGGCTTCGGGTCAGGGTGTGAAATGGATCAGTAGGTGGCAGTGGGAGACCCAGAAAAAGTCCTCCCTGGTCCCTGTGAAACCCCCGGGCTTGGCAGGCCAGCCCAGCAAGGCAGATGATGTGTCTGTCCCTGGGGACATCCCTGTCCCCACCCCAGCAGAGCAGCCACTCTGTCGGAGTGCCCTGTGTGTCTGTGGCATTACCCAAAGCCCAGGGGAAGTTGTCACTGCGAGGACCTAGGACCCCAGCAGGCATCAGGGGAAACTAAGGCACCAATGCCTGCATATGTGCCATGCCATGGTGACAGACAAGGCTGTGCAGCTTTCACCCACAGCACTGGCATCACTGCAGGCACCAACATACCCAAACCATGCCTCTCTGCCTGTCTGTTTGCCTGAGCAGTTCTCTGCTGATGGCCAGATCATGACAGATAAATCTGAGCATCTCCCCATCTACTGAACTCTTGCTGCCCTCCTGCTCCCCATCTCTGCTGCATCCTCAGTTTGAGAAACAAAATTCTCCTCAGGCTGGATCCAGACCTTTGTTCTGGCTATGGGGGTACCAAAAGGCACAGGGATGCTGAGATTAGCCAGCAAAGTGCAGTTTGTGTTTATTTTGCAAACAGCTGGAGACCAAGTTCCTCTTCTCCCAGCCCTCCCCTTCTCACCCCCAGAAGCAGGCTGGGTGCAGGTTGTGCAGATGCCAGTGCCACCACCCTGGCACCAGGTGGACTCAGGTCTGAAAGGTCAGGCTCCTGCTGCCCTCCTCCCCAGCTCCAGCACAGCGAGGCCTTCAGAGGGCAGTGGTTTAAAAACACCTTTTTGATACAGAAAAATCCTATTTGTCAGACACTTCAGCCACCCATCTGGGAAGAGGCAAGCCACCTTGAAGTTCTGCTCATCTACTCTCCAGCAGGTGGTCCAAGAAACAAGCTTCAGGTGCCCTTGGCCACAAAGACCTATCCCAGTCTCCTTGGTGGTGAGTTCCAAAATAACCTGGTGGCACTTAAAGGTGTCGCTACAGCATCTTCTGGTTTGGGAATGGGGGATTAGGGCCCCCAGCTGCTGCCCACCCCATGGACTGTGCAGTGCCCTGTGTGTTGGGGCCATCACCCTATTCACTGCCATGACCAAAGCTGCCCATTTGGTTTCCAAGTGTCCTTCTGATTGCTAGATTGTTTTGAATGGCCAAACCCCAACCACTTCCAGCAGAGACTCTCTCCAGGGCAGCTGCTTTTGGTAATCTGCTTGGGAAAGAGAGGAGAAACTGCTGACATTTTTGATGCAAATAACAGATCGTTATTCCAGGCAGCTATGACAGTAATCGAGGTAAGCAGAGCCAAACACTTCAAAATCTCTTCCTGTTAAGAATCATGCTTAAACCAGGTTTGCAGTCTGAAGGGCCAAACTTTGGGGGGAAGGTGTTGCAGCACCGATGCTCCGTGAAGCCCTAACGCAGCAGCAACCAGGAGAAAATTCTTCCAGTTTCCAGCTTAGCCAGGTCAAACTGAGCAGCACAAACATCCCCCACCTTCAAACGGTGGCAGATTCGGGACAGCAGCTTGTACAAGATAACCTCCTGTGCCAGGCACCCCAAACGGCCGGGAGAGCAGCGGAGGAGCCGTGCGAGGAGCGGGCAGCAGGCAGTGACACAGATCTAATCGCCCGTCTCTGCCCCAAATATCTCCCTGCCAGGCTGTGACATTTCTGCGCTGTCCCAGCTCGCTCCTCCATCGCCATGGCTACAGCAGCCGCCAATCCACGGCGAGTCCTTCCCGAGCACCAGCAAACCCTCTGGGAGATGCTACGAGAGCCAGCCCCTCTGGCACGGAGACACCTCGGGGACCCCGGGACAACCCATAGCACCAAAAAATTTCCCTTTTCCTTTTTTCCCTTCTCCTTTTTATTTTCTCTTTT